TAAAATGAAATATGTTTTGGTCAATTGCTGGGCACTTCACTCTTAGGCTAAAGGTATTGCAATCACTTACGATATTATATTTTCTTTCATAAATATATAAACATATATATTATGATACTACAATATGTAATTCGTAATATAGATGCTAATATCAAAAGAACATTTGTAATTTTAATTCCAGAGAAAATAGATAAGTGATCTCATCCAACCACTTTTGAAGCTAATGATCCCTTAGAAATCTTGTAATTGTTCCTTTACTTGAGAAGGCATGAGATTCAGCTCTTGGATACAAAAGAACTCACCTTTTTCCCATAACAATAGGGCAATTTTCCTAAAATCATTCCTGGATTTCTCAATTGGAAACCATAGTATCAAAAACTTAAATCAAGAAAACACCAGCAAAGAACAGGTACCATATTGTGAAAAGATGTAAGCAAATGCATTATGCGAGAGGTGCCAAAGTCAAGTTCATACACAACTGCAACTCAAATATAGTCACACATACACACACAGGCAATCAAACAGCAACTGTAGGAAACTAATAAACTGCATTGACACCAAAATCACATAAAACTGACTAAATTTGCCAAGCCCATCTGGGCCTTCTGTCACAGAGGACCTGTCACCGTCTATAGAACACTTTCAATCTAACTCCACAATATCAATCAACTTTGGCGCCAGTTGGACCATATTGATTACAAAAGACTAGCATAAGATTACGAATACATGATGTCTGATGTAGCTAGAGATCATCAAATTAAATAGACAGTCACATAAATCTTTGCAAGCAAGAATTTCTTGAAAATAAAACAATGTATTCAGAGTAGTATTGCTATCTTTTTCTCCAACAAGAGCTGATTTATAAGCAATGAAAAATTGACAACCAACTACAAAATAACATCATTGCAACAAAAGAAATCCCAAACAAGGATATGCAACTTAATGACATAACATGAGTCATAGTCAGTTAAATTCACCAGAGCGATATTTGCAGGCACAGGTACATCCAGCGGGACCGCCCCAAACTGGGGACAATTCCTCAGCCGTCTCGATACCCGTTTCCAGATCCGGATTCGGGAACCACGCAAAGACCGACCCGTTTCCCATGGACCCTAATATCGCGCTCCCATCTGCAAGCACGACATTCGTGGCCGACACCAGATATTCGTCATGCTGAAACCCGATGAAAACTCACCAGGATTTGAGCTCGTGGTCGTCGTTGTTAAGCACGGAGGACAGGAACCGGTAGGGCTGTTGGGCTGGATCCGAGGGCCGAATCGATGGGGAGATCCTTCCGCCTTCGTAGGAATAAGAGAGGAATACTCCGACACAGGTGTCGGAGGCCGGCGGCGGGGCGACGGTGTGGAAAGGGTTTGGGATTGGGCCCGCCAGAGGGTTAGGAGGAAGAAGGAGTTGTTGATTTTGATTTTTGGAATATTAATTTGTAAATTAAATTTAAATTAAGGTTGTGATGATTTTTGTACTTAAAAGGATTGTTATACAAACAATATAAATGTAAGGCCTTCAAAATAAATACAATTATTATTTTATAAGTTATTAATTTAAATTTTTAATTTTTAATGAATAAGGGTATTATAGGTTTTTGCAAGTACGAGGAGTACGAGACTAAGTACAAGGCGACCAACATTCTTTGTTTTCTTGTACCATCTTGTACCTTGAATCTAATGGTTGATATTGATTTCTGAGCCAATCTAATGGTGATATCAAGAGATACATGATGTTAAGTAGGTACAAGGGGTACTTGACTGTAGACGGTCCCCCGTTAGATCCCTCAATCTCATGACTAAGATATATTCTTATTTCTTTCATTAATAACCATTCTCACTGGAGCGCATCCCTATATATATATATATATATATATATATATAGAGTTAGGATCATATGAGAATGGTAGATAGTGAAAGAAATAAGAATAATATATATCATTGGATCTAACACATCAATGGTTATGATTAAGTCAAAACTTGGTCAATCATTAATGGCAATGTAGTAATTTTACATACACATTGTAGTCAAATATACACATTTGACCTTAATTAAGGATAAAATTGTCATTAGAAACAAAACACATCAAACATGGGTCCCACACCCACTTGCCCGTCACCTTCCCACCCCATCTGTTCCAATTCCTTCTCTCTCTCTCTCTCTCTCTCTCTCTCTCTCTCTCTCTCACACACACACACACACAAATCACCCAATTTCACACACAGTCTCCTCCTATCTCTATTAGTTCCGGCGGACATGGCTACCAGACTTGCCACGTTTATCCATTCCGGCCGACGAGCTTCCTCAGCCCATTTGACACGCCTCCCAGCCAGTCGTCGGACCTCCACATCCTCGCTGTTGCGCCACTGCCGCCCGTCATCGGAGTCGGGATACGACTGTGAAGACTCCGGCACAAACCAACCAGCCGTCCAGAAGGTGAGTTATGGCCTTCGTACATGGTATCCCCCGATTTGGTTGGCAATATGGTGATGGCCGTCGGCCACGCATTTCCCAGACGGCGGCCGCGGTTGCTAAAATGAAGACGGGATCGGAAGAGACGACCATCGCGGTGGTCGGAGGGGATGGCCGTGAAGGACGTCCTGGACTGAGCTGAGGAGTTGGCTTTTGACATTTGGACATTAATATGTGGTATTTGTTATGAGAATTAGATATAGTATTGGGACCATTTTGCAATTTTTAAAAATACTAACTATAACAAAATTAATTCATATTTAAATATATATTTAGTAAGAATCTAATAAATATACAAATTGACAAATAAATTGTACAATATTTGTACAGAAAAGTGATAAGTGTATAGCTTAAATAATAATAATAATTTTATTTGACAAAAATATAAAATGTCTGTACTTTATTTCTATTCATTTGATCGTGTTTGATTTGTGCAATTTTGTAGACATTTATGTGCAATTCATATAACCCTTATGTGCATCCGTAATACATAATAAAAATATAAATAAAAAGTAGTATTATTGTCAATTAAAAGATATAAATAAAAAAATTGGTAATATTTTTCATATGTTTCTAAATGTTCGGTTATTTTGTTTATTTAAAAACATTAGATCCGGCATTTAACCATCTATATTATTCGATCGATAAGCATGATTAATTTTTGCGTGTAATATGTTGTTTTAAAAATACTAATGAATGTACAATAATAATAATTAATATTATTGTGCACTTATTATTTTATTTATATACTAAAAATATATTTAGTATTTATATTTTTTATTTAATATTGTTTCCTGAAATAAATAATGTATATATAATATAAATTTATTTTTTATACATTTTGGTCAATTACGTTATTTTTCATATGTAAAAATATATGAAATACTAAAATCGATTAGTTCATTTAAAAAAATTATTTTATTCGATCAGTTAATGGGATTATTGTAGTTAACCGAATTGAAATATTGTATTATCTTTTATTATAAAAAATATATCTAGTTTATGAAGCGAATAAAATATAATTGAATAAATAAAATTTTATTTAAAAATAGGGTTTGATTTTTTTAGTTTTTTTAAAAAAAAACTCCGGCCAAGAACTGAAACAATCGTGTTCTTAAAAATAATAAAAAAAATATCAAACCGAAAAAATTAGTTCAATCGATTAAGTGCAATTCGATAGTCATTACTGTGCAATTCATCTAACAGTATAGTGCACTTACAGTGCATATATATATATATATATATATATATATATATACTTATATATACACATATATATATATATATATATTAATAATATGTACTAACACAAACTAAAATTGAATTTATAGATTTAAATTATAAAAAGATACATTTAGTCTTTTTAATATATATATTTAATATTTTATATTTTTCTAGTTGAAAATAATAATATTTATATGTATATGTTATTTTTTTTTATATATTTAGCCCGTTTGATTATTTTTATAATTTTAAAAAAATAATGTCCATAGTGACATGATATAATTGATATTTACAAATAAAATAGACAATTGACCCGAAATATATGATTTCGAAAAAAAATTTTAGTTCATCTAATTTCGATCATTATGTGCAATTTGTCTAACATTGCGGTGCAATCTGGTAGTCGATAAAGTGCAATTTCCCAAGCACTATTGTGCAGTCGCATCCTATATTATTATAAAATATATTTATTAATTTAAATTTTTTGTAAATATTAAATTTTACATTTTAAGTTTTTTTAAATAGTATACACTTTACTTATCATTAAAAAACATTTATGAGATATTTCTAATTCGAAACAAAATCTTTAGTTCATTAAGTTTCGGTCATTATGTGCAATTCGTTTAACATTATCGTGCAACTTAGTAGTCGTTAAAGTGCAATTCGCCTAACTCTAGTTGTGCAGCCGCAGTGTATTTATTACTTATTTTTATAAATGTATATTTATGTTTTTAATATTTTTTTATGTATTAAACTTTACATATTAAAATTTTTAAACCACACTTTATTTACATTAATATCCATTTATGAGATATTTCTATAAATTGCATATTTGGTCATGAACTAATTAAAAAAAAAAATACTCAAAATTCATAAAATTATAAAATTGTCTCTCAACACTATTTAATACAAAAAATATATACATATATATATCAATGAAACCCCACATAACTAATTTGAAATTGCAAATTTATTACACATTAATTACATTTTCTGAAAATTACACATTAGGCACATGTGCCCAATTGAAATATATTCAAACTTCATCAATTTGCAAATTTAACTCATAGGCTAAATTGAAAATAAAACAAATATAGAAATTGTAATTTAGTCCCTTTGAAATATCAAATTCTCAACCACAAGTCCTCCATCCAAAATCAATATCCACTCTTTGTCGTCAACCGTGCTTGGAACTAGAATGTGCAGTACGGACACACCGCACTACGCCGTAACGATGGACAAACCGAGCTCTGCAACGACTCCGGCGAGTCCCCTGCTGGTTGTGGTCACCGGCGAGAATGGCTCTGCTCGTTGTGGTCGCCGCTGTCGTCACATCTCGCCGTCACCGGCGCAAGAACCCTGATCTCTACGGCCGAGCACCACTGCAGGACGATTCACCATCTCCGGCGACAGGAATCCTCCAGCTTCCTAGTTCCTACTGCCCCGCCGCTCGCCGAGTTGACATACCAGCTCGCCGCGACCGCTACCCACCATGGCATGGACCGACTCTGGCTCGGCTCCGTCAGACGACCACCCGTACCTGTCGCCCTCGCCTCCGTCACGCCGTCATCACTTTTTTTTTTCCGGCGGGTTGTCTCCTCCGGTGGTCGATGACGGGATTACAACTCCTGAGCATGTCCTTCGTCGCCGGGGCTGTTTATACGCCGCCGTCACCGTCGAATTTCGGACGTCGGAAAGTGAGTGTGAGTGGTGCCGATGAGCCTCGGTTTTTCCGATCGCCAATGTGTTTGTGTATTTGTGTGTGTCTCTGTATGTATCTGTGTGTGTGTTGTGTATAATGGTGTTGTCTGACTTTTTCTTTTTCGTGTGTTGTGCGATTTTAATATATGTGTGTGTCAGTGTGTGAGAGAGAGAGGGTATGCAAAAATTAATGTTTAAAATGTGAAAGTGTCTAAAATACCCTTAATGAGTAAATAAGTGTTGAATTTTTTTGGCCATTGGATCATTTGATCTAATGGATACAATATATTCTCATTTCTTTCATTGAGAACCATTCTCACTGGAACCTAACCCTATATATATATATATATATATATGGCTAATAATTAATAATATATAATTTTAATATTAATATATATTATAAGTATTATTAATAATATATATTGTAATTATAATTTAATTATATATAATATTAATAATATATTTTGATTATATATATATATTATTAATAATATTAATAATATATATTGTAATTATATTTTAATTATATATAATATTAATAATATATTTTAATTATATATATATTATTAATATTAATAATATTTTTTAATTATATATATATTATATTAATATTAATAATATATATATATATATTGTAATTATATATAATTTATATATAAAAAAATGCGCCGGCCGGCCGGTCGGGCCGGCCGAACATTAAACCGGCCGGCCTGCTTCCACTTGCCACATAAGGCCGGCCAATCCTGCTCCGGCCGGCACAAGCGGCCGGCCGCCGCAAACAAAAAAAAA